AAACTAAAAAAAAATTTGTATTCGTTTTTCGAATTCTACGTATTCTGAAACGTGAAACCTCAAATTTTGAGAAAGGGTTAAGTTTTTCAATTTTTGGTCGATCACAATGGTTCATTATTGAAAATAATAAACTAAACATACATTAAAATCGCGATATCTCTTCTAATAGTGCTTTGATTTCGATGAAACTTCCTTTATTTTTTAGGAAATTTAAATACCTTTGAAACATCTTGTCTCAATATTAACAAAAATTGTATACTTTTTGAATTATTCGGAATTTAATTTTTTTTTTCTACTTTCTTTTCGTTGAAGTATGTTATATAGATAAATTTAAAGGGCGTCGATAAAATGCCGTAAAAAAAAAAAATTCAAAATTAGTGATCTACTGACTGGCCTCTTCAAGTTAATGACTTTTTGCAATAAACCGACGATACTTCCTTAATATTAACTTGTTTGTCAAAAGTTCTAGATCATTTTTTAAGTTTCGAATGTGGTTAAACTAAATATAAATGTGACTTAATCCGTCTAGTTTCAGTTATGGTCATAATTCATCAGAGCCAATGAACTCTTCTGTCATTTACATCGTTTCGGCCAAGCCCTAAACTTAGTTATTGGGACAAGGCCTATCTGAAATTATTTAAGATTATTTTTTGTTCAGGTGCAGGCTTTCGAATTGAGTACAGCGCCCAATTACATTGTCATGATATTACTTAAATAAGAACTTGCCTCTAACCAACTCTTGATTATTTTTGTAAAATAAGTTAATGTCTGGAGACAATGACTCTGTGAGTGTTCTCGAAATACACTTTAAGGTCATTATGACCTCCAGATATTGAGACAATTTTTTATGTCCTAGACTTCTCCGACCATTATGAGACTCGAGTAACGGTTTTCTGTGATTATAAGGTTTGTTGAGGAATATTTTATTTTATTTGTCTCATTTACCATTCGAGTAGACCCCTTTTCAGATCCGATCCCTTGAGAATAAATTCTTTAGAGAACCGGTGCCTGCACGCAACTGAACGGATACGTATAGAAAAAAAACTTTAATAATGCTTCCGCAATTTTATCAACTGCAATCAAGTCTTCTGTCACAGTTTCTCAAGCCACTCACGAACTCGATAATTATTAAAAAAGGTATGTGATTTTAATTGCGCAACTCTTTTGAAACAGAAACACCTTAAATAATGGAGGATACATGCAACTAACTACCACTTGTCCAAATATGGTTTACCTAATGTCTATTTTAATTGTACCCAATTATACGCATATTTTTTTTTTATTTTAAGCAATCCGAAATTTTAACAAACAACCTTAGTAATACACTATACTTTTGAACTCCGACCACAGAACAGCTATGCTTGGTCTAATATGATCTTTTATCAGAGACTTAACATAATTAAGTGGACACATTAGCTACATCCATGTTTGGTTTTATCGTGAAAGTAAATCATATTCATATGGCCGTGATGCGGACATGTGTTTTATTTTTATTTATTTATTGTTACATTCCGCATCTACACTAGCGGGTCATTAGCGGCTTTAGATGTAATGAAATTAGGTGTACAAATTTAATATATTTTATAAATTCAAATACTTTTTGTATCTTTTCTTCGTCATCTGAAAGTGCGTCAGATATGTTGGTAGGTATATTATGTTTTGTTCTGGTGTCAGAGTATAGTCTGCAACTTGTTACAATGTGTTTCAGTGTAAGTGATGTGTTGCATGTTTTACAAAATGGTGGTTCCAGGCCTCTCATTAGGTAGCCATGGGTAAAGGCTGCATGTCCAATTCTAAGCCGAGTTAAAATTATTTCTTCTTTCCTGTTCTTTCTGAAAGAGGTCGTCCACGGTTTGGTATCTTTTTTAATTTCTAGAAATTTATTCGTAGATTGGTTCCACTTGAATTGCCATTTTTCATTTAGGATTTTATTGCATTCCAATCTCCAGTCAGCAGTGGTCGTTAAATTGATCATTGTGGTGCGGACATGTGTGTTCCAACCTTTGTTTTCAGAAGGTAGATGAAATAACGTAGTATTTATATCTTTCAAATTCCTACTGTCTACTTTAAAAAATACATATGTATAGCCCTTCTATTTTAAAATTTAAAAGATCCGCCATATCTTGTGGTAGAGAGATGAATGAGTGTTTGCAAACGAGTTGTTTTTCCCGCAATTGTGGAAGTAATCTCTGGGTTTCTTTCTTATTGAACTTCGAGAAAGGCCAGAGATAAACTTTTGCACCATTATGGGAAAGATATTATGAGCGTGTAGCTCAAGCACGCAGGAACACCATAGCTTTCACCCTGTGTCGGTCTGTCCCTTGCTAATTGATCTGTTTGGAGAAAATACGGGCCGACAGGTGTTCTCAGGGCTTGCAAGAAGTGAAAGGACACTGCTAAGTCTTTTACATTGCCAATTTAGCAGTGTTAAGTTTAATGTTAATTTTCATTATTAACAGAAGACGTTTTTTGTTTAAATTGCTCCCCAATTTGGGCATCTCAAAGCTCTATGTAATAGCGAACCATCTTGAATAATCTGAAAGGCGCAGCTAATTTACGATGTGTTTTTTTTTTTTAATTTTTCTAATTTTACCGCAAAACAACCTTACTAACAGTTATCTTTCATTTGCAAGTGTGAGTAAAATATAATTGAAATGAAACATCCAGTACTGTTACTTGATTTCTCTGGACACGAATTATCACGATAACAATCTTTGATTGGGCTGTAGATGACTTCAATGCCTGCTGACATTTCTAGAACTCTAGACCAACCATCAAACAAACTTTTTTTAAAATTTTTTTTTGTTTATTTTTTTTTTTAAGTTTTGTATAAAATATTAGGCCAAAGGTCACCAAATGTACATAGTTTTAACATCATGTATTATTTATTCGACGTTTATGCTTCAGGAGCTATTTTCAAGATCCTGCAAACTTATTTTATTTAAGTTGTTATATTTCAAACTACAACATTATAAAACATTTATTAATTCAATAACAATCAGTTATATAAATAGTCCGAATTCTATGCATTTTGGTTAAAATTAATGTAAATGTTTTATCTACTACCGGTTCATAAAATTTCCTAAAAAGTATCATTATAATATAATTCGTCGGTTTGTCATTCTTTTATTTCATGGAATGTCATTTCTTCACTTCTGAAAGTTATAATAAATAAATAATTAAAATATAATATTAAAATTTTTAAGAAAAAAAAGAAAAAAAATTATTTGTTCTCAATAAAAAAAAAAATTGTCTATTTCAAATGATGCATTCATATAAAAGCTTTATTTACTATTCATTTTTGGTTTTAATCAAAATCAACTTACTCAAAAATATTTTATATAGATATTTCATTGCAGAGAATTCTCATTTCTTTAAAATTCAATTTGAGTACCGGTAAAATTCAATAATATTAACAGTAAATACAGTAACAGTAAAGTAATTAAGTAACTATAAAATCCAATTTTAGAACCGTAAGTTTGGAATTGAATCTTTCACCTCCCCTTTTTTTCTATTAATTTTACTCAAGTGCCTTATACAGTTTCTACTTTAATTAATTAATTATAATAACTAGTTTTCAAAGTTTTTATGTATTTATGCAAAATTTAAATATATGATTATTACTTGATAATTTCGAAGCGATGACTATCCCGCTATTTGTGTAAATATATAAATACCTATTTACTATTACCGATTATATTAATGATTGCTTTATAACTGCTGGTTTTATGTATGTCCCTTGGGTTATACGGTTGCTGGCAGCTTGAGAGAACTACGGCGCTTTCTCAATGTTTCCAAATACAGCATTTGTAGAGAGTTTCTGTCGCCGTCAGTTCGTTCCACCGTAATTTCTACTCAACCAACTGACTTCTGTACTCATCGTTTGTCGGATGTTAGCAGATTGACAAAACAGCTTATGATATGAATATTACGCCTTACAAAATAATTTATCTTTAGAGCTTTAAATGTTACTAATTAATATTGGCCTGTGTGATACATGAGAATTTATTAGATCTTTGCTTTTCAGTTTTCAAAATTTACTCAAAATATCTTGGTGAATTTCTATGTAATTAGATATAAGTTGTATATAATTAATTTAATATTAATATAATAAATTATGTATGGAAATAACGTTAGCCAAATTAGGGTCAATGTCAATGCATTTTTTACCTACTGAAATTATGAAAAATTAAATTAATTTAAAAACATTTAATGAAGGAAAAAACATTTGTGATATTCTTATTAATTTGAAGAAAAAAAAGTATTATCACGAACATACTTCTCTTTGGCATTTCATGTTTGGTATGGTAATTCTCAAGGCATGTTTTATTTCATGCTAATTACCTTCAAGATTTTATTCGCCTTTGACTATTTTATTGTTAAATGCTCCTTTGGTTTGTTGGATATTATATGTTAAAATATGATGGTTTTTTAAAAATTGATTTACGTTCTGGCTTAAATATATACAAATTAAAATTAAAATTAATTTGAAAACATTAGTGAAAACTATAATAGTTTCATATTTTTGCTAAAGTAATTAAGAAATTAAGCCAATAGTAATTTTTGGTTGATAAATAAGGCAGAAGTAGTTGTCATTTAAGTCTCAATTGAAGTGTCAACGGACTATTGCTTTTTTTTTTTTTTTTTTTTTTTTTTTTTATGGATGACGAACTAGAAAGAGAGAGAAACATTTTATTTTCGTAAAAGAGTGCTGCCCAATTATATTGGGTTGCTAAATTCACAGCATACTTATTAATCACAAAGGAAATGAAATCGGTATGAATGTCGGAATTCGTCCTCTCTCACTCTCCACAGCGTACGCCTTTGATGGGAAATATAAGTTAAAGATTGTTAAAGTGTGAATAATAACAGAAAATACAATTCTTCTTATATTTTACTTTTATCATGGTTTAATATTTGGACGTAATTTTGAATAATTTCTAGTTATAGAATGTTGAGATAAGATAGCTAGATATATGGAATGGTTATGGTTGAACTGTTTAAGAGAGATGACACCTAACCTTAGGAAGCGAAATGTTTACGGTGGCCTGTACGGCCCAGTAGCCTGCGGCGATGGTCGAATTCCCTTTCACTGTCAGGATACGCCCTCCTGACTCTCTCCACGCCAGGGTGTGGACCTCCTGACAGCTAATTAGGGATCTGAGGAATATTAATTTATATCTTCCATATAGTGATTATTCTATAACTATATTCATTTGCGGCTATTTCTGCAACTAGCATAGATAAACCTTTGTATACATTTATATTAATGAATCTCATTTTGACATGAAAATATGACAAATGATAGGAGATTAAAAAAAATAGAAGACATTTATCATATAAATGGCTTGTATTATCACAATATCGAATATTGATTTAAAAATTAATCATTAGAGAAAGTTCGAACAGTTAAAGAAAGCAGCAAGTCTCATTGATTTGTGTTGGAGTAAAAATTGGCATTTTTACGGTTGGCTCTAGGAGAGACCTTTTTCTAGTTATATGGCTTTGATGAGTTTTATATCTTTCTAAATAAGGCCTAAAATTAGTATGCAGTCAAGATAAAGGATGGCCATTAAGCCATCCATAGGTGTATTGAGCTTAATTCTAACGTCTTCGATATGGTCATGAAGCACTAGTGGATCCAGGATTTAATTTTGGGGAAGCTTCAGCCCGATAGCTTTTTTTTTCACGTAAATATCGATGGTTACTTCGAAAAATACTAACTACCTATATGAAATGGTGTTTAAACCACTCTTTTTAAGTCCTATTAAGCGTAATTACCCGAGCAATATTCTTTAAGAGATGATTTTTTAATATTTTTTTCCCATAAAACATGGTTACATTTTACCATTTTTTGGGGGCTTGGGCGGGGAGCCTCAGACCGAAAGCCCCCTCCCCATAGATCCGCCTGTGTCATGAAGTACACCTATCTTTGACTCCAAATAATCTCAAGTAACAGAATCTTGATATAGACAAAAAAATAAAACATGTAACCAGATACTTGTAGTTAAACATAAACGTAAATAAGAACCTTCTCGGCTTAAATCAAAGCGGCTGCCTTTGTCCTTTTCTGATGGGACTTTGGCGTGGCGTTCTATTTCATAAATGAGTATCGGTCTATAATTATTGTTTTCGGTCTCTCTCAAAACAATATAAGTTTATGAAAGACTTTTTTATTTTTTTAAAATTTATTTATTGAGTATTACAACAATCTGTCTCTTCGACATTAGTTGTAGTGAGGTAGGATAACATTCACACTATATGTACAAAAAATATAAAATAAATAGAAGCAAAATAACAATACACAATAATAAAAAAGTATATACAATAAACAAAATAAAATAACCTAAAAATAAGAAAATTAAAACTTAGCAAAAAACACATGCATAGCTATATACAATCAGGCGAGAGAACTCCAGGAGAACCCTGCCCTACTCTCTCAACCGCATCACTGTTACTAAAGCCAGCGGAGATTGATCGAGAGCACTTTAGTCTCAACATGAAAGTTAAATTAGGCATTTTAATACAAGTTCTGTCGCAGATACCACGTCGTTTAGAAAAAAATAGATCATATTCTTTTTTTGTGCGATAATTGAGTTATTTCTAGATTCTCTCCATAGCAACTAGATATTATTGCACAATTCCAATTGTTGAAGGTAACTTTGGAATTTCAAGTAGCCTTGATTTGTCATAGTATATCATGTTTTTGTTTCTTGTTTTAAATGGCGAAGCATCAAAAGTTCAAAAAGATACTCAATTTAAGCACCATTAACTCATGGGGAAGTTAGCTAGTGCGTGCTTCATAATAGCAACAAATATATACGGAACTTATTGTCCAAGAGATCGCATTACAGGCGGCACCTAGCCCACATTCCGCATCAATTAGAGCGATTAGTTTACCAGTGTATCCGGTGTCGGCGGCGGTCCTGCGCATGAGTACCGGAAGATCAGGGCAGCCAAAGTCTTTCACATTCTTGCAGTGTTTTAAATTTTAATATTTTAAAATTCGAATCCAACAACTTCATACCTATTTACACGTTATCGTTCGGATTGACGAAAAAAAATATTGTCTGCAAAATGCCTTTTATATACTTAATGTATCTCATATAGTACATTGTGCTTTTATATGTTCTCTTTAAATTTATTGAAGGGTGAATGATAGGTGTGGTTCGAGAATTCATAATTGATTGGCATCATCAGTCGCCACGGGCGGATCTACGGGGGGGGGGCTTTCGGGCTGAAGCCCCCCAAAATGGTAAAACCTAACCACGTTTTATGGAAAAAAATAATTAAAAAATACCTCTTAAAGTATTATTGTTGGTGTAATTACATTTAAAAGGACTTAAGGAATCACTTAAACACCATTTCATATAAGTAGTTAGTTTCTTTCTGTTTTTCCAAAGTAAATATCGTTATTTTTATGAAAAAAAAAGCTTCCGGGCTGAAGCCTCCCCAAAATTAAATTCTGGATCCGCTAGTGTCAGTCGCCAGGATTACTACATCTTTGTTTAGTCGTTAAATAGTGTCATTTTTTGTTTAAATCTTAATGTGTTAAAAATGAAATTACGAACCTCTATTTATAGAAATAGGGCCAGTAACTGTTATTTAGTCAAAAATTCACAATTGTGTTTGCTGTTATAATATTTGTCTAATTATGTGGGCATCGAATCTGATCGAAATACTGAGTCATGAGTTTTGACTCTTTCATGCAATATTCTTGCGCTCTTTTGCAGCCTGAGATTCCATACAAATATCAAGTGCTGCAACGAGTATAATCTGATTCGTGCCGACTCCCATAAAATTTTCTACCTCACCCTTAACCTGAAGGAACACTAACACCTGCTCGTTGGACAGATGGTGCGTTGCCATGACATCAGGCCATCCTCTTTCTTCGTGGTTTGTAACAGGTTTGGTTTGTTCTCTTTGTTTATTCTTTTCTCTATGTACTGGATGTACAAAATCCACTTATTATTTTCTGTTCTCCAGTGACGCGGTTCATAATCGAAAGCAGAATCATACCTGTTTAACAACGATATACATTTGAATTATATTTGATTCATTGTGGATTTATTTATTTCTAGAAAAATATGAGTTTTAATCTTTTAAGTAGCCGTTATTGTTCGGAAGTAATATTAGTTCCCTATATTTAGTAATATCAGATAAAAATGACATTAATTGCATCCCAAACTATTCAGCAAGTTGTAACAATGTTTCAATATTGATTTCACTACTCGAGGAATAATTAAAACCGAACGAACCCCATCATGTTTCTGACCACCTTTACCATTTGTTGTAAACTTATCCTACAAGTTCATTAAAAATGCTCTGATTATCCATGTTGGACATACGCCACCTGGGACTTTATCTTGAAAATCGACTTAAGGTCGATATTGGGAAGACAGTTCCACGGATTTCTTTTGTTTCAGTATTTAAATTCCATATTCTCTTAAACTATTTTGCAACTTTACTTCACAGTCTATTCCCATTATACTCAGAGGTGTCTGAAAAGGATTCTCTCTTAGCTTTGAGCACCACTATTAGACTGTGTCTTCACAATTAACTGTCGGGTTAGCTTTATCCCCACTAATATGTAATTGCAGCGCGATATTGTTTTTAAGAAACGTTTGGAACTGTTATAGTTTCTAATGTTATAGTTCACTAATGAATAAAATAACTAAGTTAAGAACTATTTACCCATTCCAACTGATTATAATTATTTTTTTAAAAAATAGTTTCCTAATGGGTATTGTAACCCTAGACTAGTAATTATTTGGAATTCAACATTAATTATCCTTTTTCTTCAAATCGGTAACTGTTCTAGTCTTACATAATTCAGTGAAACTCATATGATTATGATTAGTATAATTACGGTCTTCCAAGAAGTGAAGTATGCCGAACAGCGTTAACTTATCATATTCTACCACGTAAGAATCTCTCGGTTTTTAGGCGTTCTGGTAGGAAGAAGAACGCAATCTTGTATTGAATACTATTTAATTGGGAGGCGTACAATTCAACCATTCAGTGAAAATTCGATTAATAACCCAGATATGGCCGTTATATAAAACTCACATTTTAAGTAATTTTAATTAAATATAATCTTGATCCACTAAACACATTTCTGAATAAATTACTTCATTAAAATTATAATCAGATGAAATCTATAATAAAGAAAAATAATTCATCCTATTAATAATTAAAAGAAAAATCTAAACTATTTTTCTTCCTTATCTGTCACAGAAAGCCTTTAATTGTTGAAGGAAAATGTAATTTACAATCACTTTGTAATTTTTTTTTAAATATCTGTTTATAAACTTAATCCTTATTGGTTGGATCATATTTAGAATAGTTTGTGTTTATCATTTCAAAAAAATAATAGCAATTCAAGAAGTAAAACAATTTCGCTGTTGAACAATTCCAAGAGTATTGAACTACTTACTGTGTTCTTTTACTTTTGTATTTTATTTCTGTAATATATATTTTTTCAGTTATAATTTGGTTCGAATTTTTCTGTTCGTTGTAGCATATTTGCTTCTTACTGCAGTCAATAGCAAATTTATCTAGACTATTTTTCTAGAAATACATCTAAATATATATTTTTTTGTTTTCTTGGATATGTTTCATTCAATGTACATGTAACTCTAAACTGAAACATTTTACCGGATCAAACCTAATTTATGACGAAGATTTTGACAGCGGTACAGCGATTACCTTGTATATAATGTAGATGATATGAAGTTCTAGTCTCCCCGCCCCGCAGTGTGATGAGTAAGGGAAAACTCATGACATCGGCAGTCTTTTTTTTTTTTAGAACTCCCAAAACTAGATAAGCTGTTATATTGATACCTTGTGGAGTTCCCGAGAATATTTTCAGTTTTCAAAATATAGATTTTCACTGATTTTATTGAATAGTTCAATGGAAAAAAATGTGAGGTTTCCTTACTCGCCCGACTGTTCGGCCGTACATTATAAAACGTTGGATATCCAAGTCTTAAACCCAACTACGGTTTTACTACTACGGTTTTTAAAGACATAAACCTACACCACTACAATCCACGATGCTTCTTGGATTCAATTCTTCGAAAGGAAGTACTGTTTCTTGGTCATCGGTTGTGTGGGGGGAGTTAATTGGGTCGAGATCACCCTCAACCGTCAGATTTTTCCCCTTTAATTAATTTCCTAGTTAAGAGTGCCCACTTTATATATACTGGAGTGCCTCAGGAGGGTCTCGTAATCACAGAATTGATCCACGGCTGATGTAACGCAATAAATAATTACATGTTCCATACCGGAACCCGGAACCTTGAATATATGAAGTCAGTACTTTGCCCACTGAGATACCCCGCTTCCCTTTAAAAGGCATGAGATTTTAATCGTTATTGTCATTTTAATAAATGGTGTTTGAAGACAGACGAGGTTGTTATATCTACCGTTCATAAAACACGAGTTAAAATATACTGTATATTTTTAAATGATTATTAAAGATATTTCATTAGCATTCGGTGTTTTCGGCCTTGTCTCATCAACAAACATTTCCTCTTAAATCTTTCTATGTAAAGATTACTCCCCCTGCTGGTATATGCAATCCTTACACATGGTAAATTATTGGTAAACTATTAACACAAAAAATATGAAATTTAGTAAATCACTTAAATAGGAGGTTAATACAAAATTTATTGCGTGAGTTGTTTCATTTAGAAAGCTCATTTTACAACTGATGTGTCATTTATAGACCAAGTTTATTTCGACCCGTATGACTATGTGAAGGTCTCGATGTGGCCTGCGGGCCAAAATGTTAGGAGACTCCTGCTCTAAGGCACTGGCGGATCTACGGAGAAGGGAGAATTTCGGGTTAAATACCACTAAATCGAAAAGTATATATTTTTTTCAATGATTTGTATTTTTTCTAAGTTAAAATAAAAAACAACAATCAAAATGTGTCCTTGTTTACTTTCACTTATCTATATATGTAATATAAAGTAAGGGTAAGTATTACGATCGTAAACATTTTCGAATCTTAATTTTCAACGGAAATATACATTTTGAGGTCTCTTGAGTCCAAATGACCGAGTCCAACAAAATGGTTTGTACGTGTATATAGCTCAAATACAAAAAGTCGTACGGAACTGAAATTTCGTGTTTAAGGTTTTTACGTGTGAGGGATGTTACAGCAAATTTGTCGTCAAAATCGGCTTACCGTAAGCGCTACTTTACATTATTGATTTTACTCATTTTTACGATTTTCTCGAAAACGGCTCTTAACGATTTTGATTCAATTCATTATACCAGTGAATTAAGCAATTTTTAATACAGTTTAGGTTTGATCCACATTGATGTTTTCTAACATGGCTTAAATGGATAATTTCAATATTTTAAAAATTATAACACATTCATTTCAGCTATTAAATGTAAGCAGAAATAAAAATATAAATCCATATGTGCTTGTTTTCGGTGAAAAAGCAGGGTTGGATAAAACGGCTTGAAGACGGCTTATCAGCCGAAACCTAGCTATGTAAATTGAAATAAATATGGTGAAGAAATAAACACCAACCAAATAAACGCCTTATTTTATAATATAAAAATATAAAATTGTTATATCTTTTTATTTTTAGAAACGTTCAACGACTAAGTAACTTTTAGCTAATTTTATACAGTTCCTATATTTTTATTTAGCTGTAATTAAAAATAAAAAAGAAAAAAAACTGAGCACCCAAAATAAAAATCTGGACCCGTTACTGCTCTAAGATAGTTGAGAGGTGGGACAGTGCGTTTTTTGTTTTTGATTTTTAAAATCTTTAGACTTTGACGAGTACTTTTAAAAATCAAAGTCTCCCGCGACTACTGTTACAAGCACCATCGAGACCCACTCAGAAATACCTGCTACTCTCAAACCTGAGCGGTCGGCCTTGATCCAGGGTAAACAAGATAGCTCGGCTT